TTTGGAGACTACCTTTAAGATCAGCTCCAGTGACTGCCATCTTGCTGTGCCACAGCCTCTGAAGGAGATATTCCTCAACTCCCTCCTCAAGGTGGGTGCTGCACCTTAAATCTCCACCAAACACGGGACCGATGCTTTTACATACAAAGGCAGTATGGTTGTATGTGTAGATGGACTCAGTGACTCGGCTTGTGCGGCGTCAGTATGTGTTTAAAGCAAGATAAACCTTTCCCACGTCAGACAGTGCTCGCTGGCATGAGTTATTGGCAAGCCCATGTATTTAATTAATCATTAAGGATATTACAACTATGCTTCTCCCCCTGTAAAAATCAAAATGTCCGCCATAATAACAGTCTTTTGTACAGTAAATCACATCAATGTCTTTTTCTATTTTTAAACGCAGAATGACAACCTAACCGTACCAGAGACATCCCCATCTCCAGAAGACATTGAACGAGCAGAGCAACTTAAAAATGAAGGTAATGTTCAGACTTATTTTAACTGGAACTGAATTTGTTCTGATACCAGTGCATCCTTATGTAGCCTCCCTGGTAGCAGATCATTATCTTTTGGTACCTCAATTTAAATAATATGATAATGATAATGAGCTTCTTCACAAAATATTTTGGCATCTGTTTTAAATGATATATGATATTGAATTATTTTTACTATTTATCTGTATTATTAAGCTTGTCCTCGGACCACATAATATATTTTACCATGAAGTGTTTGTGCTGTTAAACCATAACCACACAGAGGAGGTAACTCAAAACCTTTAAACACTCATCATTTTAGTATTGTGTGATTTTTAGCTGGTCTACATACACCACAGTGGAAACTGTGAAAAAAAGTGTCTTGTAGTGAATCAACTGATAGTGGCAGCTGTGAAGTGCTAATAACTTCCCCTGTGAGACATATTGTAAGTTTGAGCTCTGCCTTTTAAACAGATTTTCCCTCATTTTAAAGACAATTGTTGGGTATCATCATCTGGTTAAGGAATAACACATGTTCAGGGAAGAACCAGCCATAGTTCATGTTAATAAGGAAATATTTGTAAAGCGATACACTGCCTTGATAATCCTAGAAGCACAGCTGCAGTTTCACAGTTATATTATGTGATCAGAAAAATCAGAAAAGCTGCCAGCTACCTGAAGAGGGAACATCTTGGAGCTCTGCAGCTCCTTCTACCTTATGGACTGACTTATTAATAGCTATTTATTTGCAGTCCTGGGGAGAAAGTATTGATCTCTCTTGATCTTAAATTTAAAGTTATATCAATAATGAACTAAAATGGAAATGTTACTAGTACCACAGCGTCCCTTTAAAAAAATAAAATAAAAAAACTTTTGCTGAACTCTATCTTACCAGCCATTTCTTGGGATGGTAAAACTACCTCTATAATAACTTTGGCCCTGTGTTGTAACCCACAGTCTTTCTATGTGTAAATAATCCAATGTTTTTTTTTTAGGTAACAATCACATGAAGGAGGAGAACTACAGATGTGCAGTGGAGTGCTACACAAAGGCCATTGATCTGGACTTAAGAAACGCTGTGTACTATTGTAATAGGTATTTACAACAGCAAGCAACACTGATTTCACACTTTTGTCACCGTTTTGCACTAAACTTTCTACTTCTATTGTGGTTTTTAAACAACAGGAGACAGTCGGTGATGATCAGTGTTTTAACTGGTGCTAGAGAATTGAATCCCTTCCTTGTGCGTTATGTATATGAACACAAACAAGTCTGTGATGGGATCTGAATGTAACACTTTGCAGGGCTGCAGCTCACAGTAAACTGGGAAATTATACAGAGGCAACTGGTGACTGCGAGAGAGCCATTGGGATTGATCCTACCTACAGCAAAGCGTATGGGAGGATGGGGTGAGTTTGACTAAAGACATGCTGTTTGTGTCACAAGAAATGTTTAATGTTATACACTATTACCAGATTTATTTTCAGGGTTTTTTTTTCTCTACGTGATCTCCATAATATTTCAATATTTCCCTTTAATGGTCCCTTTTATGGTTCCAGTTTGGCTTTGACAGCCACAAACAAGTATCCAGAGGCAATTTCCTACTTCAAGAAGGCTTTGGTATTAGACCCCGAGAATGACACCTACAAATCCAACCTGAAGATTGCAGAGCAGAAGCAGAAAGAAGCAACCAGCCCAGTAAGTTAAAACAAGCTGTATTTTTCTGTTAGCCCTCATTTTGTTATGTAGCATAATATAGATATCCTATTAAAGCTTCTAAAGCTCTGTCTATGAATGTGTGCCACAGATAGCGGCTGGATTGGGATTTGACATGGCTAGTTTAATCAACAACCCTGCCTTCATCAGCATGGTAAGAGTCCTAATATATGCACTGTACATAAAAAGCCTGGCTGTTTCATAGGCACAATAGAGGCTGTTCGGTAAACTCACCATTTGTCCTGGAGACAGGTGTCTTATGCTCTCTTTGTCTCTGGCAAGGTTAGACCAGATATTTGCCCTAATTAGTCCCATGAGTGACAGTTAGCCCGTTAATCATCCCAGTTTATTGTCTAGTGGAAAGGGCCTTGTCTGGGACAGGAGAATCCTGACTTGTTAAACGATGACACATGGGAACGTCTGCCAGGCCAAGAACGCTTCTACAAGCATGCCAGAGTTTTACTGCAGCAACAATGACAAGATACATATAAATCAACTAGCTGTGTGTGTGTGTGTGCGTTCAGGGCCCACAGCACAATATACTACATTGTTTCTCCGAATGTGTAATCGGAAATATATTGTCCTGTTTGTGAGAGGCGCAGCGGATTTCAGCTTGATTTCTGTTTATAGGCCGCAAGCGTGATGCAGAACCAACAAGTACAACAGCTGTGAGTGAACATTCGTTGATTGAATTCAGGGTTTTGTAAAGTGCAGTTTCCAAACATACTTTGACTCACTGTGTCGCTGTGCTGTCAGTATGTCTGGAATGATGTCTAATGCGGTCGGGGGTTCTGCAGCAGGAGTGGGTGGACTGTCAGACATTTCCAGTTTGATTGAAGCGTAAGTACTTTCAACTCAAAACCAAAAGGATTAAAAGCACTGTTTGATTATTCATTTAAGAGAGTGGTATATGAGTTATACATGTGAAAGGAATAATTAAATATTTTGGGAAATAGCAGTCTCAGGTCTGTATGGCTACAAAAAACCATGTATTGAACAAACAACAAACAAGGAGCTTTAGAGATGTAGATGCTTAGCTTTGGAAAGAAACCACGTGGCCTGTTTCCTCCTGCATATTACCAGTTTTAATGCTAAGCTAAGTTAACCAACTGCTGGCAGTAGCTTCATATTTATGGTTAAGACATGAGTGGTATCGATCTCCACTCACTCTGGGCAAGAAAGCAAATCATATTTCAACATTTTGTGAACCTGATATCGGATTCAGAGACACAAATCAGTCTCTCATTGAGGCCAACGTTTTTTTAAATGATGCTATAGTTGGAGACCCCTGTACCCTATAAATTGATGCCTATATTTTGATCATATTTTATCACAGCAAACCCAGCATGAGAATCTTCTTTTTGTTTCTGATTTAGTATCAACTTGTACCTGTACTGTAAATGTCCACAATGTGAGGAGATCTTTAGGGGAATTTCTGTTATATTACTGTATATTAAAAACTGAGCTCTTGTTCTGGTAGAAAGCAATTCAGGAAGTAAACAGAGTTATCTCCTCTCGCTATCAGGGGACAGCAATTTGCTCAGCAGATTCAGCAGCAGAACCCAGAGCTGATCGAGCAGTTAAGGAACCACATCCGGAGCCGCTCCTTCAGTGGCAGCGCCGAGGAGCACTCATGATCTACTCAGGTATATTTAAAACCAAACCCCAGCTGACCGTATATAGATTTAAACGTATTTGTATCATTAACACGCATTATTTTGTCTCAGTTTCACATTTTTTTCCAAGGAAGGGCAACCATATGGCGCGATTACAATCTCTACACCCATTTCTTAAAGTCAAATCCCAGGCAAAGCTGGAATGAAGAGACAAGGATGGGGTTTAAGGCACTTTACTGTGACTAAAGGCTCTGGAGCAGAGAGACGAGGGCCTGGAGACTGGACCATGAAATGAAGCATCCCACACATTTAGGGCAAAACATATACTCAAACACCTAAAAAAAAAGAGCCAAGAACTCATTCAGCCTACTGAGAGAACATGAGTAAATTCTTTCTTCAGAGCTTTTACATTCTGCAGAGATCATGTTTTATATGTGCTGAAAATACTGCCCTCTTCATGTTATGAGTTAAGGGTCCTACTGTATAATCGTGAGAGTAGAAAGTTAGGGAGGAATGTACTTTTACAGCATAGCAGGGAACATTTCTGCTTTTTCTCATACAACATCAGGTTTGCCTTGTTTATACTGCATCTTGTTTAATATTATTTTTGTAGACAGAATACACACTACTTGTTTATTGAATGATTAACACCATTCAGTCCTTGAACACGTAGACTCACATCACTGCTTTTCAATAAGTACTACTTAATTTTTGATTAAGACAACAGTTTAATGGTATAGCAGTGTTTGCAGCCTGCATTATGTTGTTATTGCACTTTAGCAAAACTAAATGTCTCCCCTTTAAGCCTATTTAATTGTTCATTAACTAGTGACAGAGTATTCAGATTGTTCATTTTGCATGCTCTTAAATCTGGTATTTGAGATCAGATGCTTTATGGAAACAAATAGGTATGCTAGGGCAGCACAATGTTTTGTCTAAAACATGTGAATAAATGTCTACTGAAATGAAACTACTCGCACTCATGCTTGTATTTTTTGCCTTTGTGTCATTATTATGAAAGATGCAGAGTGTATTTTGTGTTAAATCATATATTTAAAGTGGGAGAGGCTCAGTTTGAATACTAGATCTAATCCTATCCCAGAGAATCCTAGTGGTTTAGCAGTCTCACACTTTAAAGGGGAAATCCACCAATTTAGTCCTTCTCAGCTTGTCTGAGAAAATACAGCAGATAAGATCAATCTGATGTGGTTTATTTAATATATCTTACACACATTTCAGTGGCATTTAACAAATACCACTTCCCATAAGCCTCAGACTTTAGCATGCTAAACATCATGGCTCGACAAAAGAGTCAGTAGTCAGTATACACCAGTTTCTGTTTAGGTTAAATGGCTCTTCACTATATAAAATAATGTTAATGTAACACTAATATTACAATTACTTAAGTACTTGCTGCAGTAGCATCTTCAGATAAGTTCAATACCTGGTCACCATTTCAATAGTTACCATTGTATTTAAAAATGTGTCTTAAAAAACAAGAAATCCATGTAATCATCATGTTTAAAGAAAGGATCAGTGCAGCCTACAAGCATTAAACAGACTTATATAATGTCTTTAAAAATGACAAACAATAAAAGGATTATTCAATACTCATATTGTGTCTGGGAGCATTTTTAATGACAAAAGCCACCATTGACACCATTAAATAGGTTTGGAAAAGCAATAGGAAATCAAAGATTACAGAGATTTTATTAACATTTATGCACATTTACATTATTATTTTCAAAGAAAGTGATTTATATTATTCACAATTCATTTTAAAATACAGTATTATCCCCTCAGGTTGCAAAAAGAGTGAAATGTCAGCGTTATGTCCAGAATTCCACTGTTGGTCCATTCATACCTAAAATGCAAAAAAGGTCAATAAAATTCCTAGCACTCGTTGCTCGTGTACGGGCAGACCACACACACTTGTGCGATGTCATCATATTCGTACGTCCTCTTCAGAAATGTATCTGTGAGTCTCAGTCCGGAAATGCTCTGAAACAAACAGGTGAGGACTTTAGTGAGCAAGAACAGCATGGGGGATATCAGCCAACAGTTTTCCTGTGTGGATCTTACCTGCAGACCCTGGACGGATGAGAGGAGTATGAGGGGCAGAGAGAGGAAGGCACCAGGACTAAGTTTCCCCAGCTGTCTCCCTGATACACCACACCAGTGGATCGACCTGGTGTTACACATCTCCAGCACCAGGTCCATGGTTCTTTCGCTACAACACAAAGGTCACGAAAAAGGTTGTAATTCAATAATGTAATCATTGATGATTAAATAGTACCTAAGGCTGTTTCCTATGGGCAGCAAGACAACTATTGGACTGTGGGTTTTTACCTGCAGTTGGTGATTTTACAGGTAATGTCAAAAGGTTCTTCGAGGTTAACAGTGTCAGGAATCATCTCCAAGGACAGCCTGATATCTCCATAGCCTGGAGCCTGAAGGACATACAAGGATGGAACAAAAATAAACCTAAGAAGATAGAAAAATTTGAGATCCCTCCGTAGCATACATCCAAAAAAAGCTTCTAAATACCATTCTTTGCAGCTGACTGGTCTGTAGCCTCCCTCTCTCCCCGAGATTGGTCTTCCATACGATGTCAAGCTTGCCTATCACCGTCACACCCTTGATGACGCCGGCCTTCTCTGCGTACTCCGGCTTTGGCTTCAAGCAGTACAGGTACTGCCGTGTGTCCATGGGCTGCAGGTAGGACATTTTCCCAAATGTGGACTCTCTGGCAGCGAAAAAAGTATGAATGAGTGAAGTGTGAATGCTGACAGTAAATACCATCATTCACCTTGTTACAATTACATCACAATGAAGTGCTCTTACCCTTCGTCTCCAGCTGCGACTGTGTTGAGCTCTGTAACGTTGTACATCAGGGAGGGCTCTAGAGAGACCTTCTCCATGAACATCGGTGAGGTGGTGATGTTCTGGATCTGAGCCTCCAGGAACACTTCATCTGTCTGGAGCCGAGAAGCCAGGAGTCAAACTAATATTTGTTGCTCATAATTAAGTATAATTATATCATCTCTAAGGCAAACTGAGCAACACATCAACTTTACTATTAGATATTAAGAGGGGTTAGGCTTAGGCAAAATCCTACTGCCTTAAAGGATAGGTTCAAAATGTTCAAGTCTGTCTTAGACACATGCTCATATGTGCATATCAAGAGTTACTG